ATAAATGAATTATCAAAATATCAAGACATATGACTTATATGTCTTGATATTTCGTAATTTTAAATTTTAAATTTTAAATTTTGTGTCAGTATCATGATTTGTATACTCACTTTGTCTCAATTTGGATTTATCATTTCTCACCATTTTTTACCACTTTGTACTAGTAACTTCCTCATCATTTCATGCTGCTTTATATAATATTTTCTCATCATTTTTAGTTAGTTCTTCACACCACTTTGTAGTAGTCGGGCATTTTCGCTCATCCATTCTTTTACAATCTAATTTTCAGTGTTGATTGTTTTCATCAATTTTTTTTGGATTATGAAATTTATCACTGTTTTTATCAAATTATCATTCTACTTTTACCAAGGAAATCAAAATTCAGTGAAAATGCACACATTAGTATTACAATCACAAGATTTCAATCGTTAATGTCTACATTTTAGTTTTTCATCTCACATCTGACATTCATCTTGCTCTTTCTAAAGATTTGGGCTTTAAAGCTTCTTTGCATATTTAGGTAGCATATTATCAAGATTCCTTTGCTTGTATCAGCGTGACATTTCTTATATACAACATTTTAACCTTAAGTTAGTGCAAGGAGACTGACAAATGAAGGAAACCTTCTTGAATTGGAACGCATGCTGTTTAATGTTTTGAGTATTATGATAGTCATGTGAGCTACAGCGTTATGCACAATCCACCAATTATTAATGATATAGTTCTATGATGTAGATAAGTTTGTTATAGATGTATGCCATTACCTACTTACGTGTTTATGGATCACATTTGCTAGTCCCAACAACAGAATGAAGAGCTTTGTCACCGAGTGTGACGTATTAGCAAACGTGTTGTGGTAACCAAGAGCGTGGAAGCAGAGACATGTCCTACCGTCTAATGGCTGCCTATAACGGCGAGGGTCAGATAAAAAAGGGGTTATGGTCGACACTTCTGCGAGAGAAGAAATGCTCCCGGCAGATGAAATAAATCCAGATCCAGAGCTTGAAGAACAAAAAATACACAACAATGAAAAAAAACGAGTGTATGACCAATTGCGATGCACCCATATCGTCGTAGAAGCTTATTCTTCGGTACTCAATAAATTAGCCGAAGAAGCAAACAAAATGTCATTACTGGTACCTCTTTTTGTTTCTACAGTAGAGCAACGGAGCGAAGCGTCTCGTGAGGCGATTACTGGGATTTCGTTTCGATCGAGAGCTGTGCCATGCACGGTCGCTCAGAGGAAGCGATCAGCAAAGGTCGATTCGCGGTGCCCAACGGCTGGAAACTATATGGGCAGCGCGTATGGGCGGGCCGATGGACGCAGTAAGAATCTGGTGTCGACGGGTGAGTCGGCTCGGAACGTCGTGAGCCCCGAGGCTAAAGGGGAATGGGATTGAATGATGAGATGAATGTTTCCGTTGGGGCGGGGAAAATATTCGCTCGCACGGAAAGGCTCGGGGGCGAGCAGCGGATTGGCGCAAGGAAGACAACGGAAATCAGATCGATGCCAGGATGGCCGACAAGCCAGAATCACGTGGTTGGTCTAAGCAAAGCTTCGTATACAGAGGAAATATTTATCGTATGTACGTGGCGATAGACGACACTGACTTTATCTGTAGTATGACAGCGCTGGGGTGACGTCGCGCGGTGACATGGCCGAAAGCCCCATGCGCCACACACGCCTTCGTGAACCTCTGTCGGATATCGTGCTCGAGATCGACGCACCTCAGCTGTCCAGATCCGCATCCGATGGCCACATCACACGCGAGTCTTAAAGGTGGGGCGGTGGCTCGGTCCCCACTCTGACCGCCCCGACCTCCCACGGTGCCATCCACAACCGGTGGGGCCCCTCGGTCCTCTGCTCTTACCCCGAGGTTCTTGTACAGCAGTCCCGACAAGCGACTCTGGGCTTCGACATGTCTGTCCTCTCTCTTCTGATGCGATGAGTGATGCGAGTCCCAGCTGACCGGCCGCTACTCTGGCTATGGTAGGTGGCTAGACTGCTTGCTCGTGTGACTGAGTGACTGAGCGAGCGAGCGGGCGAGTATGAATGTGTGGATAGTCGTGCTTATCTTCTGATTAGAGCAGGGAGGAAGGGGATCGGGAGGCAAGGATGGGAGAAGAGTGGGAGACGATCCTCCAGAGTCCAGGCCCTCCTCCAGCTCCGAGGAGTTGAGTTGCAGGAGGAGTCAGGAGTCTGGAGCCTGGAGTAAAAGAGAAATTTGTCCAATTGCTGCATGATGGTTGAAACGTCGTCGAGAGCCCGAGGCGAGGGGGCGAGAGAAGAAAGAGCTCATTCGCTGTAAAGCTCCAGCCGTTCTCTCGCCATGTAGTTGCCCTGCCGTATGACCGGAAGTGCAGACGAGATTTGCAAGCTGTCCATGTTTGACAGTCAGCCCAGTGCCTTATCAGAAACCACTGGCGCTTCGGATTTTGGAGGCGGTTCCCTCACTTTTCATTTTCAATGTTTGGCATTATGCTGACCTGAATCCTGCCGCTGCCGCTACTGCTGCAGTGGTTTCCTCTGTCCACCTTTCCTCTGCCCCTCGTCGTCGCCCTTCTTCAAGGCTGGAACTCAAAGCAGGAGAGAGCCGTTCACTGCGTTCGATGCATGTAACACATAAGACACTATTCTCGCCTTTATTCGCTTTGGAGATTGTGGACGTGATACCACAAGCATAGAAGAATTCGAGGCTCGCGGTTTGAAGCAAAGCCTCGGTCCTCCTCACAATCAGGTCAATCATTCCATCATAAATAAAACACTACAATATTATCTGCTAAACAAACTTACTTGCTCACTAGGCAGGCAACAACACTAGACGCCGGGGACTTTTGGAGAATGTATCCTCCCCCAGGCCTCCTCAGTACGGCCGAGAGGGATACAATGGAACCCCGATCAGAAGATGTGGCTCTCGAAAACGTCCAGCCCAGTCCATTCCCATCACCTGTTCCGATTCAGGGCAGCGGAAAAACAGTGAGACACGCTACAGTTTTGCTGCACCTGGCCAACACATGTGTTGCCCCCCTACATGGATCATCTGGTCTACTCTGCTGCGCCGGAGAAAGTGCGAGGGACAATCAGTGTAACACAGTTCAATCATGTGATAAACTCCTCGATTGGAACTTGCTACGTACAGTACAAACATGGACGCAGACTGGATGAACAGGCAGCGAGAATCGCTCTGATGACTACTGTTTGCGCATATGAGCTCTCAGTGATATCCTCCAGGGCCTCAGTTGTTCTCCAACAGTGCGACGTGACCTCGCCCGCTCAGTTCCCATCAAGTCTTGCACTATCACTCGCGATGGAATCGCAACTCTTGTCTCTACCGGTGCCTTGTTCGCCTTGGAATTGACCTTGTCTTCAATTAGCCAGATATCTGCATCCGTAAGTAAGTCTCCAACCTTTGACCAGATTCAACCGAGCAATTCAGGCTCCTGATGCCGGCTTTCCCGTCGCCATTATTTTCGCGAGCTGCCCGACCGCTGCGGTGGCCATGATGGAGCTATTTCCGGACGGGGAAGCCTTCCCGGTCTCAGCGACAGAATTGACTGCGGAGCTGGAACTTCCGATCCGGATCAATGCCTCCACGAAACCTCAAGTTCCAGAGGCTCGGGTCGGGCCAAATGTCTTCTGCATGTCCCCTTCGGCACGACCTCTCCGAGCCTTTACTTTCAATCCAGACTCCATTAACTCTCCCCGGCCAAATTCAGCTCAAAAGCTGCGCTAGTCCGGGAGTCCAGGACTACAATACAAGCTCTCTGATCATCTGGAGAGTACAGTCCTCTGACCGGACCTATGGATTCCGGACAAATCACGTTCCTTTTGCCTTCTAAAGCAGGCCCATTACGGTATATAATTAGACTAAGTCTGTGTCTGGTCTGACCACGTACTGGAGAATTGGTGATTAAGTTGAAGCGAGTTTATAGGGCAAGGAGGACAACCTCCAGGATTCCACGTCCGGAGGAATGAAGAGAATATCGGTAGCTGTAATCAGGCGGTCAACTCGAGACAAGAAGCGATGCACCGATTTACAGGGATTGGAGTCAACTAAGACAAAGGAGAAGACTCCAAATTTACAGGCTGCGTGCACCAAAACATTCGAGAGACTCACGCATTCGTTCGATAATTCTCCGGGACGCTCTCCGGTTCCATCAATGCTCCGTCACCGAACAAAATTTCGGCTGCTGCAGCTACAGCCTTCGTGCGGAATGCTACAGGAACGAAGAGAATTACGAGATTTATGAATAAAGATGGAAATCTGTCGGACGTGACCCATATTAAGAGCGCACACGATGACAACAAGAGGTTACCTTTCAGTGTAGGTAATATCCGACCGGGTAACTGGCTACATCCAACGATCGATAATATATGATATACAAGACTGCTGAGAAAGTGTCGAGAGTTCGGAGACTGTTTCCTTATTAAGGCAGTGCTAAAACGAACGAATTTCCTTAAAATGGGTTCCGCCCATTTATTATTAGGGTAATGCTAAAATGAATTATCGTACGCAGTAATCGGCCGCTGGGATAGTTGACTGCATGGCCTTGACTCCGTGAGTCGATCCTCCTGCAGGACAGCGTGGGTCGCAGTTGTCCGTGGTCTTCGGCGCTCGTGGGAGCTGCTACGAGGATTAGACAGCGAATGCCTCCGGTGGGGTTCAGGAGAACGGAGCTGCACTGGCATCGATCGATCGATCGATCGACCAGTAGGGCTGAAAAGGTTACGCAGCGCTCGTTGGCTGTGCGATGCGATTCGGCTTTCATTTCGCCTCTGGATTCGTTTCTCGAGGATTAGAGTGAGGCGATGACTTGAGGCTATGGTGTTACTTGTTGAACACTGAAATGGTTAACGACGAGAAGGAAGAGGGTGGTTTGGCAGCCGCATGAATTGAATATTCGTGCTGCGGAAGATGATCCAGCGAAGCATACGCATTAGCATTAGCATTAGCATCAGCATCAGCTTTCATGTCGTCACTAGCATCAAGGGCACTCGCCCTCGGTGTCTTGATGTTCTAGCGTGTTGACCCTGGGAACGCCATTGAGCACAGTGTTCTTGTTATGGAGATTGCTCTTCCGCTATTCACGTTAATGCATGTCCTGAACGTGTCTTCTCTTGATTGCGTCTCCTAAAAGCGTGTCTTTGATTGTCGTCCGATTGTCGTTAAGCAAGAATTTTCTCAGGCTTTGATTGTTGCTCTTGGGGAGCATGGATCCAAGTTAATCTCACCGTGACCACGTTCCGAGCCTCGAGCCAACGACGCCTTGAATCCTTGATGGTCTCTTAAGGTGCACGCCTGTCTCAATCTAGAGTGGAAACCCAGCGAACTGTTGTAGGTCTTTGACATGCATTGCCGAGGTACAACTTGTGTCAGCTTTATGGAAAACACAGATGTAGAAGAACTGCTCAAAAGTGCAACATCAATTTTACCATGACCTACGTAGGCACTCAATGCTCCTTCGTTCCTAATTGAGCATAGAATAGACATCACGTTTGCAACAATGCTCGTCGTAAAGAAAAGCCCTGAATCCCTATTTGTTGACCAAAAAAAAGATTTCCTGACGGGACGATCACAGGACTCGGAGTCATCTTTGCCGAAGGTGCAAAAGGTTATGAAGGATGGGGCTTGTAGTGCGCTTTACAACGCTACTATGTCCACCCACGACATCACGAATGTCATCACCTCATATCAGTTCGTGCTTCATAGCCAGAAAATCACCTCGTGCAGGAATAAGATGATGCGATCTCTCCACGCCCATATTTAATTTCGAAGCCCTAGATGTTCATACTCATTCTCCCACCCTCCTAGACCTCTTTAATTTTTCCTGGTTTCTTCTCCTCCTCGTAGTATATTCCGAATCACTAGCATGCAGCATCCGAGCAAATATTTTTACTTTTGATATGTGGCCGGTGGCGGTGGCCACCCTGCTAGCCGGGTGGAACTAGCCGGTCTTACGCAGGTTGCCGCGGGGCTGGACTGGTTTGCTTTTAGGCTGATGTCCGGGCCACAGTTTCTACGAGGCACACAAGCGCATTCATGGATGTCATTTGATTGTCGAGAATGATTCGGGCCTGGAGAAAGATGGAGAGAAAGGGAGGGACGGGTGGGGACTCGGGGAGTGAGGGGCGAGAGTCTAAGGGAAGTTTGACAAATCGAGGTGGTGTATTTCTCGGGAATGGACGGAAAGTAATATTCCGAGCCCTTCCACCACACCCTCGAGGCCGGCCGCTTGACTTGCACAGGGAAGATGAAGTACAGTAATTGGCCCGGGTACTGGCCGGGGGGTCGGACTAGCCGGCCACCTCGAAATCCCGAGCTCTAAATAAATCCCCGCACTCGGAACCATGCAAAGATTGAGCGTTTGTCCTCCCCGGGACGAGAAAGTCGTAAATTCAATCAGAGTCATTCCGCCTGCTAATTCACCGATTTCCGATATCAGACGGCCAATCGAGCCGGGTCCAAACCCACCCAAATCGAGCAGTTCACATGCCTCATGTGCGAGCAGTAAAGCCAGCGCCATCCCCCATTCTCAACACGCCTTCTCTTCTCTCGCCCTAATCCGGTCTCCTCGGACGTTGACCGGTTTCTCAAATTTTCACATCCGCCCATCACAGCAGCATTGCGTTACTTCTCCATCCCCCTCTCCTCGTCCTCGTCCTCGTCCTGAGGATAGCCCTCGCAGGAGAGAAAAAGCGGCCAAGAAACCAGGAGCCAACACTGGCCGTCGACTGAAGCAGCCCGGCCCAGCCTCGCCTCGCTTCCAAAGACGAGACGAGACGAGACGCGTTCGTGGCCCGAAACAAAAGGCACACATTGAGGCGAAAAGCGGAAGCGCGCATCAGCGATCCGGATAAGCCAGCCATCTACGTCTAGACTTGGGGCTAACGCTGCTGCTTTGCCCAGCTACGGGACTGTACTTATTGTGGTAGGCTTGCAGGAGGGCAGGGCCGGGGCGGGGGACGGGACAGGACGGGACGGGAGGGCAAGAACAAAACGCCGATCCCCTCCAGCGGAGTACGGTGCTGGTGTACGCAGTGCGACACGCTGGCACCGTAATGAGCATCGGGCCCTCGCCTTACATGCTCCTTTGGCCCCTTCCGCCAAACCTAGTGCCCTCCGCTCCTGCGCTCCTGCCCGCTAGGCCGCCCATGACCTCTGCCTCTGTCGCCAGCCCTGTCGTGTTCCCGACTGAGCCGTCTCTTCGTCGACAGCGTGGCCTCCCGGTCTCCCGGTGGTAGCACTTCCGGAGCACGATTCCGGTCTCGGGCCGGTGGAGCCGGGAAGGTGGCGAGTCGGAGGATGCAATACGTTACGGTACTGTTACGGTTCTCTACCGATCGTATTCCGCGCTTGGAGCTTTGTAGCGGGGGATAACGAAGAGATCCGACACGAGGACAAGACCTGGAGATTGTCGCCGGCAATTGTCGTCGGGAAGGGGCCACGTGGCAGTCGAAAAGGGAGCTGCCACACTGAACCCCCACATCCGCGTAGCGGGAGCGGTGTCGTGATGGATGGTTGGCCGGTTGGATGGCGGCGGGCCAGAGATCTAGATCGAAGCCCGCCCAGCCCAGCCCGGTCCGGCCCGGCAGGAGGGCCCTCCCTAAACGCGGCCAGACCCTGGCATTCCGCTCGCCCTTACGTCCGTGAACGGGAGTCGGTGATCGCCGGACGGATGCCCTAGAGACCAGGCCGGCCCACGAGTCTGGTCGGCACAAAACGACAAAACTCTGTCGGGATAAGTGCCCCGATTCGGGACTCCCTTCGCTCCTCGTCCTCGGCCCCGTTCCCGGTCCGTCCCAGCCCTTCCTTTCTCTTCCCTTCCTCCTCACACCATTACTGTGTACGAGGGAGCGCCCCTCCTTGTTCCCACTCGGGCCGCACTTAAGTTGTCCGATACAGTAGATTGGATCACTGGAGCCACCGCGTGTCGGCTCCCGATTGGCCGAAGCCAGAGCTGCTCCGATTGGCGTATTTGGCATCCAACCAGGGGCCGAGGCTCGGAGGCTCCGAGGCAGGGACAAAACCCCGAGCCCGGCAGGCTCTGCTCTGGTGGGGCAGAGGGCCGAGAGAACCGGTCATCCGGTGCGGCGGAAGATGCCATTCGAGGACGAGAAGAGACGAGACGAAACGGAGGAAATAGAGCCCCTTTTGGCAGCCCAACGGCAACTTACTATAAATGGGGGGAGGTCGAATACGGTGGGATTTGCGGCTGTCCTAAACATCTCGCTCGATTTCGCACTTTTTCGCGAACGCGGATGCTCTACTTTTGGAGCTCGGGCCTAGAGCACTGGAGACCACTCTACACACCCAAATTTTAATATTAATTTTTTTCCACAACCTTTACAAGGCCCCTAATGAAATTAAAAAATGCCACCATGGTCGCGTGGGTATTCTACGCTCCCAGGCCGAGTGGCAGATCTTTGTAGAGCGTTCGTGGGGGAACTAGATCCTTCAAAGCTCGTGAGTACAAACAAAGCCGGACGAACGAATGATTTTCCTCGGTGGCCAAAAAAAGAGCGCACTCGAGAGGATGATGTCTGCTCGTGACATCCCACCCCAAGGACTTCTCGATGAGGAGATGAACAGTTAATAGATATTAACCCGCTAAGACCACTTGTCGAGTAATGAGAAGTTAGAGTGGCCCGTGGTGGGTACGGAGCTGCTTTCCTAACCCAGGTAGAACTGCGATGTAGTGATGACTAGCTGACTCCGAGGAGGGCGAGCGGACGAGCTCGAGATTTTTCTCTTTGAGATGATGAATAGTTCGGAGATATTATTAATCGACTTGTAGTTGAGATATTACTTGTGCTGAAAAGAGAGCTCGCAAGGTCAATCCCTCACTCAGTGTACCTCACAATCTGGTTCGGCTAGTGAGCTGCGTCAACATCTCGAGCTGTGCTGTGCAGTGCAGTGCAGTCTTTGTTGTTGTTGTTGTTGCTGCTGCTGCTGCTGCTGCTATCCTCCTCGTGCAGCCCAGCCCGGCGAGTAGCCAAGCATGCTCGAGCACGCAATCTCGAGTGCTGTCCAACCCAAAGGGCACTCGAGATGGCGAGGAGTTCTCGAGCCTTCCTTTCGGTGTCGGCTCGAGCCCTCCCTTCCTTTCGTTTCCTTCCCTTCCGCTCTAGACGAGATGTCGAGAATGTGGAGGTTAGTTCGAGACTCGATTTATCGATCGGTTTCTGGTGTCGCGAGCTTGAGGGAACAGTCCAGAGATCCGAACTGGTCCACATCGGTCCAAGGGAGTCAACTGGGCGGGGGCATGCAGCCAAGGGCCCCATGGCACCCATCGTTGTTGGCGTTATCATCGTCATCATTGAGCTATTTGGCTGCTTCCCGAGGGGCCGCAGAGCGGCACATGGTTGACACGACATTAGGCCCGGAGGATTAGATGATCTAATCTGTTAAAAAGGTGACATTATCTCTGTACCCCGTGACGGAAGTACGACGGAGTTGCATATGGTGGCACGAGTGACACGACTCGATGCTTCCAAGATTTCGGTGCGAGGCCACCAACGTGCTCCGAGGATTTCCACTTTGCTCGCGAGGAGTTTATCCACTCCCCCCCTGAACTGGGAATTCGAGGCGAATTAAGGCATCCAGGCAGCAAAGCTAAAAGGTCGAAAGATCCCCGTCGAGTTAATACACTTTCCACCCCTTTTCTTGCGGGCCGGTTCCCTCGATTGGTGCCCTGCCAACAGAAGCTTTCGCTTTGAGGACTTCGGCGACCTTTTCCTTCGCTGCGAGGCGGCTTCCTCCAAGAAAGCGAGCTCCCAGTACAACCAAGCTCACTGCCAAAGTCTGCACCCTTTAATGAGCGGATGAAGCCTTGTCTGGACCTGTGACATCGCATCTGCAATTAAGATTCCAAATCAACATGTTGTGTTCTAATGAGAATGAGAAATAAAGGTCGACGAGGTGCATCACGATGCCCATTTGTGATGCGGACCGAGAAATCCTTTCTTAAAAGAAAGACACCTGATTTGAGCTCAAGTGCCGATCTATCTATCCATTAACAACTTGTGAGCCTTTTCCCAGGACACGAAAGCGTTTGAACTGTTCCGTTCGAAACATTCTTGCTTCTTCAGTTCAAATGCATTGAGGTAGCGTCGGTGACGAGATTATTCGAGTCAGTTGTATTCCAGGCTTCCGGTCTTACGACACACCGTCGATCTAGAAAACATTCTGTGGGCGAAAAGTCGACGACGCTGTGAGAGCGAGCATTCATTCAAATCACAGCACTCATCCCTTTATTGCTTACGACTTTCCTCCAAAGATCTGGGCGAGTTGAGAATGAAGCTCGGATCCGTCTTCGTGCAACAGATCATCCGGAAGAAACATTCGGGGAATTTAATGTCCATGATTCTGTTGAAATATTTCAATCTTCGTCAACGAACTCTGAAAACTCATGTCATTATCACGAGGACTTTCTCCATTTGGTCGAATGGGGTCAGATAAAAGTCGATTATTCGCTCGGGAGCACCTTACTTCTCGTCAATAAAGTGCAGAAAATTCACGTCTCAAACCCGATGGCTTCGTTCAAAGAATTCTCGTTCAAAGCAAGAAAGAGATATGGAGTTGAGGTCCAAACTTGCATTCGTCTTCTTGTGCAAAAAAAACTTGTAAACATTCTTCTGATTTCTAAGAATGGAAGATCCGAGCTTATGACTTCACACTTACGTCAAACGAGTGCATGTTTTCCATGAGAAGACATGATTGACAGACCAGGATATTGTTGAGATGTAACCTTGAAATGGAGCATGCTCCAGGCCTACAAAAATGACACATACAACCTTCCGGCCCCAAACCAAACCAAAGAATACAAAACAAAACAGTCGGTGATCAATTTGGCTTCCGAAGAATAATAAAAAAAAGGTCAGAAAGCCTTCATCTACACACGAAATATGGACAGTCCTCCACGTACTTGAGGCGACTTTAGACATAACACGAGCCGTTTCTTCCTTCTGTGGTACATTATAACATGGATGCCGCCATAAGTTACAGGCATCCAGCTTGATCGTGGTCGGGAGTTGCTGTGTAGACACAAGACATGAAAAAAAATCGGCATAATTTATTGTGCTGGAAAGCCGATCTACCTCTCATCCGATCTATCTTTCCAAACCCAGGAAGCACTTTTGTCATTAGATAAAGCAGGTCCTCGATCCTTGTTTGTGCTCTTTAATGTGAAGATAAACTGCCCACTCGTGCAGATTCTAAAATGCAATTGCTTTTGACAAAAATAGGCCAAACAAACAGAGAAAGCGCACTTCTCATGCGGAGGCATCAAAGGGCGCCGAAATCAATTTAATCGGCCTCTTCGCTCCCGGATCCACGGACCGACCGAGCTAGACGTTCGACTGCCATGGCCAAGCGGCCCATGCGCGGACATCGCTCGGCGGGGGCAGCCTGGAACTCCGTCCCGGGGCTGCTGACCGGCTGACGGAGGAAGATCGGAGTCAGCTTCCATAAAAAGGGCCTCGTCGCTCTAATCTAATCTAATCTACCGACCCGTCCAAAGGCTTCGAGAAAGGGGAGTCCGGTCAACCACACCGTGATGCCTTCAACCCCACCCTCCCTTCCAATGGAGCTGCAATTTTTCCACCTTCGGTCGAAGAGAAGGAATTTGTTGCATACATTTCGAAGACTGAGAAATCGTGATCGTCGCAAGAGACAGAACTCTGTAGCATAACAACATCCGTACCCTATCTCACTTACGTTCAGGGATGAAATTATTGAGAAGATTTGGCTTCATCTGCGAGGAGTAGACTGCACTATTCCCTTTCTTCGAGACGATGCACATTCTCTAAACGCAACCGATGTATGGCCGAAAACACAGCGGTGGATGAGACAAGCTTGAAATCATAAACTTCATCTTAAAATATTCCTACAATCTGTACATGCTAAACCACAAAAGGGAACGAGACAAGCTTGAAATCATACACTTCTGCTTTAATTATTCATACAATCTGTACATACTAAACCACAGAGGGCATAGGACAAGATTGGATTCATAAAATTCAGCTTAAATTATTCATAAACTCTGTACTTTCTAAAACACTGAGGGGGATGAGACAAGCTGGAATTCATAAACTTCAGCTTAAAAAATTCCTACAATCTGTACATTCTACAAGAGGACCACGCGCACAACAACCTCAAAATCAGAGTCCTAAATGAGGAGGGGTACTAGCGCTCCTCTCGCCTCGACGTAGAATCCTGCTTTTCTCTGGTACGTTCTACTAAGCCTGGGAGTGTGGTCCCTAAGCTTTTCCTAAAGTGGAGATACACCGATTGGAATCTGCAACAGCAGATGATTTGTAGATATTTTTTAAGGGTTGGAGGGTGTGCGAAATGTTAGTCGAGTCGGCACGGCTTGCTGGCTGGCTGGCCTCGCCACTTTTCGGCTGGCGATGAAGGTGTTCGATGGTGGAAGGAGGGGTTTATGATCTCCTTGCGCTGCTTTCAACCCCATTCCAAAGATTATGGCATGAATGCACTTTTCTCATGATGCTCTTTCGTTAAAGGTTGCCTCCTCCACGCCTCGAGACAAGGAGCGCACATCCATCATGATATTCCATTATTTGTTGTCAACCCAGCAACCTTCTGTTGGACAGAGACTAGGACACGAACCTTCTTTCATCAAGGAGATGCGATAAATTTCAGCCATCCCATCGAAACGAATTAATCCTGGTCTACTATCCAGCTTTAAAGACACCATTCTTCTTCTCCACTAATGTAACGACATTCAGAGCCTCAGTTGTGGTCCGTTGGTAAACACTATAGAGCTTCTAGGCCTCAAGGGCATTCCATTACTTGCACTTAATCCGGACATGCGAATTCAAGTCACAAGGGACAAGATCGGGTTCAGATGTTTTTGCAATGAAGAAGGCAGCACCATGATACACTTCGTGCCGATCGCAACCCGCCACCATCGGTCGCAGCCTTCAGAATGAATGCTTTCTTTCTCGAGACGTCCTATGCTGAAATCCTTGACTCGTTGGCTGGAGAGCAGCATATCGTACACGTGCCTTTTTCTCCAACTCCCCGTCCCTGTGCATGGCACCTTGACCTTGACGGATGCAACCCTGTGCCTAACCGGTGCAAATTAGAAAATGACGCAAGTTTGCTTTGGCCCCTTAAGATATTTGTTTCCATGTGATAGGGGACGGATATTTAATAATTTTTGGTAAACGTATTGTCTACCTCACTTCACCCCCAAGCATCACAATGCATCATGTTTAAGAGAAAAACTCGTCGATGTGGAAGGTAGACTGCAATATAAGTGAACAACTCCTATCCATAAGCAATGATTGTTTAAAAGCTTTACGAAAAACATCATCACGCCGAAAATTATTATTATTATCTGCTGCAAGATGCAAGAGCCACATACGAGACTTTGCTGGGAGTTGGTTTGTTATCCGAGAACAAGAAAGAAAATTGGCAATCTGCAGCGGCAGGGACAGCAGCTGCTTCTGCTGCCGCTGCACCTGAAGGGAGAGCATGAATATGACAAAATCATGCTGATACCGAAGTGGAAAGGAGGCCACAGAAGATGATGATGATGGAAAGCACTCTCAGATCCGGCTAGCTGGAGGCAGCCCAGCCCACCCGTTGGCAACACTGGTCTGGTGTCAGTGGTCTGGTCTGGTCAGGTCTCAGGTCAGGTGGCCATTGTACCGTTCTCGAGGCTGGACCTATGAGACGCCCACTCCCATCCTTCCTTCCAACTGTGCTCTGAGGCTTTTCCTTCCCCTTGTTTGCCATCTCGGATTTTTACCCCTCAAGCCCGTTTCACGTGCTCTGGGGAAAGGCTCAGAGCTGGAACCCACCGGGAGTCTCTCCCCGTCTCTCAGGGCCGACGGGAAAAACTTTAGGGAAGGGATTCGAGGGACGGAGCCGAAAGGGTGTGGAAAAGTAGGGAGTAGGGGCGGGCAGGAGAGGCTCGGGCCGAGGCTGCGTTGTCCGGTGGGTGAATGATCGTAAAGTTACCGCTGGATCGTTTTGGAGAGCCCAGGCAGGCAGCAGTGAATTAGCGAGAGAGGGCAGTGAGAGAGGGGAGAGAGGGGAGGGAGGGGAGGGCTGGGAGTGGGGCCCGGGGAAGGGAGAGGGGCCGAGCGAGGGGGCTGCTGTGCAAAACCTCGGCGTCTCGGAGGCCATAAATCCCTTGACCGCAACTCGTCCTTCCTGCTTCTCTCGACATTCATCCTCTGCCTGGTTGCTTGGGGGCATCTGCTCTTCCCTCGTCTACCTCTCTCTTCTCGTCCTGCTCTATTCTCAGTCCTCGAGATTCAGGTCGGCCTTGGGCCCTTTCTCTTCCCGTGAAGAATTGCAGCACTCTCTCTCGCTGAGGGAGCAGGGAGAGTAAGAGAGATACGAGTCAGAGTGGAAAGACAGGACACGTTCGGCAGTGGAAAAGAAAATTAGAAAATTTTTGGAACTCCGACGTTGCTCGCTCGCCGCAGAGTAGCTCAATCTGAGTTGAGGATTCGTCATTCATTCTCTGAGCCTTAAAGAAAATTTATTGAGTTTGCAGGAATCGAACAAAAGAGAGACAGGAAAAAATGGCCGAGAAGGGAACAGGAAAGGATGCGGAGCAATTTGTCCACAAAGACTACCACGACCCGCCTCCTTCCCCTCTCATTGATGCTTCAGAGTTCGGAAGATGGTCATTCTACCGTGCCATCATTGCTGAGTTCGTGGCCACGCTGCTCTTCCTTTACATTACAGTAGCTACCGTCATCGGAACCTCGCGCTCCACTTCAGCCGAGGCACCATGCGGTGGTGTGGGAATTCTCGGTATTGCATGGGCCTTTGGAGGCATGATCTTCGTCCTTGTTTACTGCACCGCTGGTATCTCAGGTTCGTTTTATTCTCTCTCGCATCCCCGACTCCACTCGGTCCCTTCGCACACGAGCTCAGCTCGGCCTCTCTCTCCTCTCAGTCGTCTGAATGTCATTGCCATCACCTGAGGGAATCTCTCTCTCTCACTTTTTGGGGTTTCAGAATTCAGACTCTCTGCATGTCGCGAGCTGTCGGGCTCGAGACATTTGCATTGATTTGAACTGTCCTCCATTAGAAGGCGACGAGCTGCAAGCTGCAAGCTGAAACTATTGCTGATGCTAGCAAATCCTCGGCCTCGAGGTCTTTTTTGAGAGTCTTACCTCGTATGCAAGTCCGGGAGTCGAAAGGGTAAAACGGAGTGGAGAATAGACAGTCAGCGGCGACCGAGTAAGAGGCGTAGTAGGAGAGTGGTGGATACTGTTCGTACTTGCGAATCCAGTGTCCCTTTCGCTGCATGTCAGCTGCGGTGCTGTCGAGCAGCACTGCACAGGCGCCTGATCGCCAGATGCTGTTGCCTTTTATCTTCCGAGAGTATGGGTTTCTGTTGGTATGGGTAGGCGTAGTAAAGGAGAAGCAAGCTGTCTGTCGTTTGGGGTGCGAACCAAATTTAGACGGAGTAGGGTACATGCCGGGCTGCTTGACTGACGTCATTACTGCATTGACTCTGGCTGAATCATCAGGAGGACACATCAACCCAGCAGTGACCTTCGGCCTCTTCCTCGCTCGCAAGGTCACTCTTCCACGAGCCGTATTGTACATGATCGCTCAATGTTTGGGAGCAATCTGCGGCTGTGGTCTCGTCAAGGCATGGCAGTCCAGCCTCTACAACAGGTATGGAGGAGGTGCGAACTCCGTCGCTAGTGGATACAGCAAGGGTACTGGACTCGGAGCCGAAATCATTGGAACATTCGTTCTCGTCTACACCGTCTTCTCTGCCACCGACCCCAAGCGTAATGCTCGTGACTCCCACGTCCCGGTATGTCAACTCTCTCTCTTCTCTTCCCTGCGCTTTCTGCTCGAGTCCCTCTTCGCAAGTGGAGCGTGTCCGATCTCTGCTTTCGAAGACGATTCTTTGCGCTGAAGTCTAGAGGCACGGACCTTGCAGTTCTTCTTTCTTGTCCTCCTTCCTACTCGTCCGTCACGTGACGATGTAGGACGAATGTATCTGAGTCCGTAGCCTACCAATCTAACATGGTGATGGCTTCTTCATGGAACAGGTCTTGGCACCTCTTCCCATCGGATTCGCCGTCTTCATGGTCCATTTGGCCACCATCCCCATCACCGGAACTGGAATCAACCCGGCCCGAAGCTTTGGAGCAGCTGTGATCTTCAACGCCGAGAAGTCCTGGGATGACCACGTGAGTAGACATGCGCGGCCCTTTCGTTTTTGCCTTTCGTTCGCACTCTGTTGCTACCATGTTTAGCTAGCTGCCGGTCGATGCATAGACTCTTGCTCATCCGGATTCATAGAGCTGCTCATGCAAGCCGGCGCAGACGGTCGACCCTGTTCTGTGTCCAACATCTTTCGAACATTTTTCTTTCTTTCTCTATCTGATCTGACAAAGTGTGATGATGGCGTGGTGGGATTGTGTTGTCGTGTGGGCTTGCTGGATGGGGCAGTGGATCTTCTGGGTCGGACCCTTCATCGGAGCAGCTCTGGCCGCAGCGTACCACCAGTACGTGCTGAGAGCCGGACCCTTCAAGGCCCTGGGATCATTCCGCAGCCAAGCACACGTATAAGTCGACAGAGTCGTAATCAGAGTGATATGAAGCTCACCACGTGTACTATGGTTGTGAATTTGTGCACTACTAGTCAGTCAAGTCTTCGATCTTCAATGTGGTTTTTGGGACGCCCTTGCGAAGCATTATTGTGTCCGAGCATTCGTTTCAGACGGCAAGGGGAGAGGGTCCGGTCCGACGCTTCGAGCGCAATAACTGAGCAAACTGTCGTCATCATCAGCAGCAGCATCAGCATCATCATGTATGTGTAGCAGGATTTGTGTGTCAATATGCTTTGTCCAAACCCAATTGTGTACAAACGCGGTCGTCCTTTTATAAGATCTCTGTTTTGTACTTACACCTTCGACATCCTCCACATGTGGAGAGTGGTGTGTGTGAAAGGCCAAATCATTCAAAATGCTGGCATTTATCTCTCTAGGCTAGAACGTTCTTTGTCAAACTATATGTCAGACCACTCGGAGGTCACACATTCTCCTCCTACATTTACCCTTGGGGTGAGTTTGTCATTGAGTCCGCACTCTGATCCATCCATGGCGCAACCGATCGCTGTATAGATTAAGATTCGAATAAAAGTCAGTGTTTTTTTGTGTAAGGCTTCTCTACAATTGTGAGGTGTCTCAGATTTTTTATAAAAGTTCTCTTTGTTCGTTCAATCGGTGTCCCCGGCGCAGTGGCCTCCACTGCCCCCCCTTTCTCTGTTGCCCGCCTTCTCTGGCGTCTCTGCCTCTGCACTCGCACTGGCGCACCTTGTCTGGACTTCTGCCGTGCGATCATTATTTTATGCATAACGCAACGATTTTTCCAGACGTCTCCCACTGCTTTTTGCCTTCCTGCACTACGTTTCCGTGTTGTGCGTGTCCGTCCGGCCGGCTGAGAGGATTCGGCCCACAGCAGCCACCGCGTCCGATGCGATCTTCGTGGACATGCAAATCTTTGGAGTGTGTGAAATCTGTTGAATCCCTTATTTGCGTGTTTATCTGGATTCCGTTCAGAGCTCAGCATCGAGTTATTTAGTAGTTGTTATTCCCAGACCATCATCAATTCACGTCGCAGCTGGCCAGAGGTCGGTCGTCGTTCGGTCTGGTCGGCTGGAGTGTGTGTGTGTGTAAGTTGGGGATTGGACACGGCGACTTGAATGGAGTCCAGACCCCTCCGCGAGGAATGAAGGAGATTCGATTGAGAACTTAGCGTCACTCCGAGTGGCAAAGAATGTCGAAGTGATCGTGGATTCGTCGAGGGTTCTGTTACAATCGGTGCGTGGGCGAGGATCCGATTCACCTTTTGATTGCGGGAAGATTATGACTCGTGATCGAGATGAATCTTGTGCAGTAGCTGTAGCCTCGAAGGGAGCGTGAAATGAAGGAGTTGATATCTTCGCATGGAGCTCGAAGAACTGCGCAGCCGAACCTTGTCGTTTTTCTCAATGTATCGAGATGCGCATTCATTCATTCTTTCAATCATTCATTAATTCATGGGGTGAATTCCGTGCATTGTCCAGCAGCAAATGAGATTCCGAGCATGAGTAAGCGAAAGAATGACTCACTCCCTCCCTCTTCAATCTCAGAACGTGGGCCCGTCGACGACCCCGTCACTCTTTTCTTTCTTTCTTTCACTCACTCACCCGGCTACGCTTGTCGAGGTTCTGACGCCCATAATGCATGAACTTGACAGTCCTGTGGCCAGTTCATGCATTATGGGCTGGGCTTACTCATTACTCACCGGCGTACGAGCACTGGTGCTCTGAGCGGGTGAGGGGAGGGGATGCACTCGAGCGAATTTTTAATCATAAACCGCACATACTGCAGGTAAGCGGTCCAGGGTCCGGGATTACTGCTGCGCTGCGCTGCAGCAGCTCCGACAGACTACAGTTCTCAACATTCACATTCGGTCGTCGCCTCGGCCCTTGTTTTACCTTTAAAGGATCTCAAAGTGCCCCAACGAATTTGTCGATGGCAAATGTGCGCTCGCTCGCTCGCATCGGACTGTTCTGTTTTACTGCAGCAGCGGCAGCAGCTGCAATGGTAAACGGGAAGCTCCTTTTCTTGCCTGCAATCTTCCTCTGCTCTGCGCATTCCGCAGCAGGTCCCGAATGCCCACTCACTCGCCTGCTGCTGCTGCTGCTGGAGGTGGAGGTGGTGGTGTTGTACAGCCCAGAAGGTCAGGGAGTCCGTCAGTTGGTCTGTCTGCTCATATCGATCCATATCTACGTCCCTCCAGCCGAGACGAGACCTGTTCTGGCACATATCCCCTCTCTCTCTCTCGATCTCGATCTCGCTTTACTGCTCTGCTCCCGTGCTGCTGCTGGCCATGAGATCTGCGCCGCTCGATCCCCTTTTCGCTTCTCGTGCCAGGCGTCCGCGCAGTGCGCGCTCGTATGGCAGCATCTTGCATGGGCTGCGTCGGCATCCCGAGGCACCCCCACCCGGGCCGGACGAACCTTCGCCCTCTCCGCTCCGAGCGAGAGCAGATAGATGCCGATGCAGATCCTCGCCTCGCCTCGCCTCGCCTCGGCTGGCTCACCTTTTCGATCATCAATAAAATCATCCACAGGCAGGGAAGGGCAGCAGCAGCAGCAGCAGCAGTAGGGACGGGGAAGATGCGAGATGCGAGATGCTCGACGATTCTCTCGACGTTTCCCGGTACCGGGACTCGGATGTCGCGCACATGAACGAAGAAGATCCACAATAAAGGAAGATCGAAACACCTTTTTCTTTCGCCGACCACGTCCGTAGCTCGATCTTTCCATATCAGCGGTGTCTTTTATTTTAATGGTGCACGGACCGAGAACCGCCGACCTACACTGCCCGATCCGTCGCCAGCCAGCCAGCCCGGGCCCGGGGTCGACTCTCGCACAGATCGGCATCAATGCGGCTCTGAGCGCCGTCTGTTCGGTCACCCGCCCCGTTCCCGTTCCAGCGAAGTGTTCGTCGTCTCGTCCGGGCCTTTTGTTTTGTAGCTCGGAGCCGCAAGAGCTCGTGATGGCAGGGGATGATGGTGGTGTAGGTTTAAGCGGGCTGGCTGGCTGGCTGCTGGGCATTTTGTCGTCGCCTCCCGGCTGTGGAAGCGCATGCTTGCCTTGAGAAGCGCAAGCCCAGCCACACGCACAGCCCCCCCCCCCCCCCCCCCCCCCCCCCCCCCCGACCGCCGCATGCCCGCCCGCCCAGCTCGGATCGTTATCCTTGCCATAACGATCCATGACTCACTGCCTGCGGCTGATCGCAGGCCTTTCTCTGTCACGGTATCTCTAAAGAGGTCTTGCGAATTTGGCATCACGAGCCTTCCTTCCCTCCCGTGGAGTGTGCACTCCTCGAGGCACCAACGCCTTTGGCGATCGGTTGTTGAGCCTTTTTTTCCTGAGTCAGATAGATAGATAGAGAGCAGGAGAGATGGTGAGGTATGGACCACCTGAATAGCACCGCAAATCAGGCAAACAGAGGCACTGGGCTTGCGAGTAGGAGAGAGTGCACATCGGTTCCAGCCCATCCGACCTGGCAGGATTTTGTTGTCTCTCATTTCTACTCCACGATCTCCTCTCTCTCTCTCTCTCTCTCTCCTCCCCGTAACCGGCAGCTCAGCGTCACATCGTTGCACCTACTTCTACTACTCCCACCACTACCTCCTCCTACACTCGATCGACCGATCCATGATACGACAGACTGCATCCTGCGTGCACGCACAGAGGGAGGGACGGACGGATGGGTTGCTGAAATCCGATCGATTGCGAGAGAGCAGTTTCGTCGGACTTTCAGTTGCAACGCGAATAACGCCAAGGAGTTCTTTCTCCGTCTCAAGAAACGCAGCCCCCGGAGGTCTGGGAGATAGTTCCGCCCATGACACTGACAGCCCTCTAGAGGCATGTCACCATTTCCAACTACCGCCAGCCTCATCCGCCGTGACTCTTCCAACTTTCTACCGCCAGTGCTGCGGATCCTCCTCTCCTAATGTTAACACGGAGATCCAGAACCACCAGATGTACGCTGGGATCATCTGCAGGCACACGATGGTAACCGACTGCTGTGTTCGCTTTTCACCTCGTCGTCACAGCACGGGAAAGATCTAGAGTCGTAGACCTGCAGCTGCTGGATTTCGATTACGTCAAGCATAATTACTCGTGGGTGTGATCAACTTTAAAGTAAGCGAGGTGTCAACGCCTAAGGAGCTCAGATTTCATGCGCATCTGTAATCATTCTGCCGATTGACAGTTTTAGTCCATCATCATCATCAGAATCAGACGGCAGAGTGAAAAGTTGCAAGTCCGTCTCAGATTCTCAACGGAAGCCACCCTCTGCTGGTCCTACTGTTGGGTAAGTGGAAGGAATCTTTCGTAGATATTTCCCGTGAGAAGTATGCGCAGAAGACGGTGGTGTAGATGTCTTTCTCTCATTCGTCCACCTTCCTTCGTCCCCAGACAGAGAGTCAGAATCTTTCACGAGGAGCATCGCCGATTTGCACCACGTTTTCTACATCTCCTCGTACACTCTGGAATTGTTCTTCGACATGTAGAGGCTCTTGCTCCAGGGCGAGCAGATTTTTCTCGTCGTATCCTCTGGGACGAGGCTTTGCCGCAAGGGGGCGGAGGGAATGAAGGAAGGAAGGAAGGAAGGGGCGACATAGCGGGGTGTGATATGCTGGAAGTGTCAAAAAAGCCGTCGCCAGCGCCACTGTTGAAATATCACTTTGCACTCGTCACTTCCTGCTGCTGCTACTGCCGCCGTTTGGAGGACGTCGAATTTCATGACGTTTTAAGTGAGAGAGAGAGTGAAGATTCTTCGCGAGTTATGGGCTTTGTTTGTTGCCCGTGTACAGGGCGTACAACGAGGCAGAGCGAGCGTACTTCGATTCGGTGCCTGAGTTTGTGTCTGCTCCGTGTCAGAGACGTCTCCACGGCGAACCTCGTCCGTCCCTCCAGCCGGGTACGAATAGTCGGCGGCTCCGAGCGGACTCCGTTAACCCTGGCCATTGCATTCTCACCAACTCTGACAGGAAAGGACTTCGTGCGTTAGTTTACGACTCGTGGCCGAAGTTGAACGGAATCAAATTTCTCTGAAATTTCTGTAGGTTCCGTGCGGCGATCATTCCTGTCCAGACTGTGCTGAATCTTTCAATATACATGCCATGTTTCAAATGAAATATTTAAGATCACAATGTTACATTGGATATATCTCATTCATACCTGTAATGTAATATAGAGTGTGAATTCAAGACATACATTCTTTACATTTTATTTTATTCTATATTATAAACATTAAATATTATATTCCTAACTGATGTTAAAAGTAAGCAAATCAGTGTATTATTGCATCATTCAGGTAAGTATGGATGATTGAAAAATATGGATGATTGATTTTCCAAAAATTCGAAACATGAGTTCTAAAGTATGACTTATCATATCCCAATAACTAACGTAATTATTGCTAAAAATACCCTAAATTATTTTCATGAAAATAATGAAATTATTTAGAAGAAGAAACCCACCATTTTAAAGTTTTGTTAATTCTCTCTGAAAATGATCAAATTGCATTAATTTCTTAGAAATAGACAATAATTTTGATAAGATTTTTCTATATGTATATGAGATAGAGGAATCTTACCATATATATGAATATAAATTTATTTATATTTTAGTACATTTTAATTTTATAAAATAAAAATCAGAATTGACAAACCTAATGTAATTTATACTCGTAGAGTGTTGAGGTTAACTCCAATTAAGGAGTAACCTCACGTTTAGCTATTTATAGCTGAGACTAATTGCATGTGTTGGGTATATAACTCCAGGGTCTATGTATTACGAGATAATTTTGCACAGTATACTATCACAATGTTCTCTTCCATGGATGGAGACCTTGAGAATAAACCATGTTATACTCTCGTGTCTTTGGCGTTGGTTGCATTGAGTCATGAATGATTCCCGTGTTTTACGGTTATGTAATCTTATCAATCTGATATGTAACTTATTATTTAAGCTTAACAACATTTTTAAAACATTTTATAATATATATATATATATATATTAATTTTTCTAAATCAAATAACTATTCAAAAAAGTTTCACTAAGTATGGACTTATATCATTTTGATGTATTACAATTCAAAATATAATTACATATGAAAAAAATATTTTAATTTATTTTTTATTAGAAGATTATTAGAAATTTTCAGTATATTTTAGAAAGTCAAAACTTTTACTTAACTTAAAGAACAGAAAATTTATATAGGAACATTATATTTTCACACCTTTTTTGAATAGATTCACATGTTTTTTGCCAGTCCGATTTTTAACAAAATAAAATTGAATGCATTTGACCAACCCCTGTAAACTGTACACGCAAACTATGCGAGATGGAGTTCGCCATGCAGAAAAAGTCAATTGAAGATCTTAGAAACAACTATGAACATAGAAGAAATGATCCTCACAATGAAGACAAGTAAGGAGAAGCGAGTGGTCTTAAAGTGTGATAGAGGATGGAAATATCTTTACGTTTTAAGCTTGAAAGATGAAATGCTTCAAAGAAAGACGCATACAAGGCTAATCGGCTGTTATTTTTGAGAATGTTTGCTCGTTGGTGTTGTGCAAATATCTATTGTCACACACCATACATCGCTGACATGCCATATTCATACACACACATATAAAAGAAACAAGAGTGTAGACATACAAAAATGTATCACAACTATCGTATATTAGATTTGAATTAATTATATAACCTAAAATATTCTTGCCAAGTCCACTGGACTTGAATACAAAACTCACATCAAGTCGAGCCAAGCCCACTTCACAACTCAGAGAATTCAGGCCGAAGCTAACGACATGCCATAAGTGACCTATTGAAAGCTATTGCCCACACAACAAGCTCAATCCCATGCAACTATAATCTCTAACAAAAGTAAACATCAACCTAGGCTCTACATAGTATTAACCCAATTAGATATGATTTTAATTCTATACTAATTATACACAACACATATAGACATGACAACTATCGTGCAAATATCTATCATTATACATCGTACATCGTTGACATGCCATACTCACACACACACATATACAGAGAACAAGAGCATACACATACACAAATGTATCATAACTTGTCACGTTAGCAGACAATTAGGTATCTCTAACTCCCAAATAGCACTATACATCTACACTATGACATACACCTTTGTGGATGCAAAGATTAATAGGTCGGGTGCAAAGGAAGCACCATCGTTAGTCGTCTATCTGCAATCCATGTTTCATGTAGATCAATTGATTTATCAGTCAAGGACAAACTCATTGTCTAGCAGAAACAATATCAATTGATGGAGTTAAGCACTACATGTGGTCCAATCCCGAGAACACTCATCACATAATAACATACGGCTAGCGTCATTAGTCGAATCACACAACATAGATCTCAAGTCGGTCTGTATCACTGCTTCGCTTGGATCCACTATACCATCAATGTTTGAAAAATGACACGATGCACAATTGCGCACATGATCCTTCCACACAAGTCCTCACCACACTCAAACATCAAAACTCCACATCCACCACCTCACTCACTTGTAAGATAATGCGGCATGCCGTTACATCCAATGTTATTGGCGCATCCTGCTGCAAATAGATATAATCGCCCACATGAAACCTACAAATCGATGATCAATAGCTGTCTTCCGAATGGTAACATATTTCAAAGTATTTTTGTGTTGTGCAATGGCAAGGTTCTCGAACGCCGTTGACATCACCCTTTTAAACAACTTAGCTTGTAAAGAACACACTGCCCTCCACATCTTCGGATCATCAAGGTCTACCACCTGACTAGCTAGTTGACAAATGAATGAAGACAAATTTGGATCACAGCCATATAAAAGGAAATGCGGCGAAAATAAAATCAAGGATGTTTGGAAACTGAATCTATAACCCATGTCCAATCATGACAGTTGAATATCCCAATCTCCAAGGTGTTACTTCCGTAGGTCATATTTGCACAATGCTCTCTTCATTGTTTGTTCAACACGCTTTGCCAAACCATCCGCCTCTGGATGATCTCAAGATGTGATACGATAATCAATCAATGTTTTGTCACACAAGAAATCAAACTCATCCTGAAAGTACGTACTTTGATCCGTCAACACCTCGGTTGGTGCATCAAAATTATTAGGTACTCTATTAAGTAAAGCATAAGTTTTTTCCTCACTTGACTTGTCAGGTAATGCCATCAACTCAATTGACTAGGAAAAATGCTCCACCATCATCAATACATACCAATGATTTCGTACCGTCCAAGGCCAGTCCCACAAAGTCTACACTCTAACGATAATCTAACCCCATAATAGGCAAAGGATGTAACAATGATGTAGGGGCATTGAAGGATGCTCTCACTCTATGACGCATCACACAATGTGAGATCAAACTTTGCACCTAACTATGCATATCAAGCCATTAATATTGTCCTAGAAATAAGCTATAGATTCGCTTCACTTCAAAATGTCCCAACTCCTCATGTGCATGACGTACAATACGGTATCTTTAAAAAGAATGGGGCACTATTTATACATCACCACATGGTAGCAAATACAACATTTGCTGTAGGTAAGCTGTGCAGGTACTTGTCAAATCCAGGCAAGGTGCATTGGGAAGCAATGAAGTGGATACTTAGATATCTTCAGGGGTCTACATGACATGGCTTATTGTTTGATGCCAAAGTAATGAATGCAAAGTCATTTTAGGAATATGGATAGACTTGAACAATAATAATCAAAGAGTAATTATGTTTTCACTCTTACAGTTGAATGCATTTATTTGAGATCTACATTTCAAAAATGCATCTCTTTGTCATCCATGAAAGTTGAATATGTTACAGTAGCAAAGACAACAAAGCAAACAATCTGATTGAACAACCTTATCACTAAGATGAAATTGCCGCACCGAGATGTCAATCTTCATTTTCTGGTAATCAGAGTGTCCTTCACCTTGTTGAAAATCAGGTGATGAATAATAGGCTGAAGCACATTGACATCAAGTTTCATTTTATCAGTCAAGATGTGTCTAAGAACGCGCTTGAGCTCATCAAAATTAATAGAGAGCTTAACTCGATTGATGGCTTTACCAAAGTGATTCTTTCTGATAAGTTTTCTAGACAATTTGCAACTTTGAAAATTTTTCAGGAGTGAGTAACATTACATGATAGTTTCTATACTTGTAGTTGACATGTTGTTAGTTATGACTTAGTTCTAGTTAAACCTTGTTCATAGGAAGTAAGCTACGATTTAGTTTTACTTTTAATTATAGTACTTTCCTCTAGAACTATATATTGAATATAGAATCAGACTCCTCCAAGACTTGAGTTAAGGGAAAGTTTGTATGACCAACCTGCGTCTTGATACTCATAATTAGTCTAATCATAGTTAGGTTTGACCTTTAGTTAAGGTTTGTTTTGTTTGGATTCCAATTAGAATTTGGGATATTTAACCCTATAATGAGCTTGTTTCAATTTAATCTCACATGTACACTTGCAGGAAGAGATAATGAAGAGCTGAGCTATGGATACCTAATGTAACATTTTTGTTTTAGTATAGCTTTTATCTCGGTCGTGAACGTAGCGTCATGTGAATATGAACCACGTACAGTAGACACTCGCTTAAGTTTGCTTCCATATAAATTTGCATCATGCCCAAGTCTGCAGGTTTCAAACAAAATTTCAAGTATCAAAATTCTTGAGGTTTATTACAACTTGAAGTCAAACATGAGCAATTGGCGACTATTTTTAACTCGTTTGTGGGCGATGACAGATCTACCGTGTTGTAAAACACCATGAAGATTAAAGAGATCACCTTTAAGCTGATTCATCTATTGCAATGACAGATGAGGAGAACATCTTAGCTTGTCCATTTCAACCTTGAGCTTGATAACACTAACCATTGTGTGGAAAATCACATCACGCTGATCCATATCAAGGTTGTTGCTCCTAGGTTCAAGTTCAACTTCCTCAGATTTGACAATCGGGTCCAAAACAACAGTATTCATAGCATTTTCAATTTTCTCAAGCAAATTTCCCTCATACATTTGCGAATCCTTGTTGTCATCATTCAAACACTTCTCAATCTAGCTCATAACATGAGTTTCATAGATTTCATCAAAAAGTTTACAATTGTTGAACAATGCAACAACTTAATAACAATGGAAT